GGGGCTCCTTTTCTTTTCTCTAGTGTTCCCCATTCTACTCCTTTCTACGGAGTACATTTTCTGTCTTGAAGTCAAATGAGCTTTTGAAAGTTAAACACTCTTGTTTTGTTCAATTTATTAGACATCTTTTATATGCGCCACCAAATATTTTTACTAGCATTAAGAATGACTTTTTTATTATTCATAAATTGTAACGTGCTCTTTTTATCTTGATTTACATGACATCTCTATAAAAATTTGGCAACTAAGTTCAGAATATCATTAACTTCACGGAGCATTAAAAAATGTGTTCATCCATCTCAGAATGTTTGTCATTCTTCAAACAACATTGTTAGATGGAGGGAGTATTAAAAAATAAAAATTATTAGCTCAAAAGTGTGTAAAAATGTGTGCTTTAAATATATTTTGAAGATAAATAAAGGATTATTCCTTTCCTAAAGAAAAAGTGAATTAGTTTAATTTTTTTTTTAAAACGGATAAAAAATGAAAAAGCATATTCACGTGAGTACTCCAAGAAATTGGTGATTTTATGCTAAAACTTTGAGATTCAACAATTATTGCCACTCCTCTAAGAAATTACTCGTTTTAACATTATTACTCCAAGTTGTCATCTAAGCTAAATACGAGCTAGGGCTGAACACGGCGCAGTTCCGGTCCGATTCCAGTTCCAGAAGCGGCGGATTGCCACCTAGTGGAATAGTAACAGGCACCACCGTAGCCGGTTCCCCAGCCAGCTCCAGAACCCGTGGTTCTAGATCCGGTTCCAGGCCGATTCTCGATTTTCTTTCTAAATATAATATATGAATAATATAATATTGTATGTAATGTAAAAGAAATTTATAACTTCTTATAATTTCTAATAATGTAGTTATTTAAATAAACAAAGTTGAATATTACAACTAAATTTGATATCCTAATAGTTCAAAAAAAGCGATAAGGTAAAGAACTGTAAAGAAACACTCGAATCAACTTATAAAACGCTCACCTAAAAAATAAATTACAATTAATAAAATGTACAAATTTAATCATCGGAACAATCACTTCCCTTCGTGGTTACATCAATGTAATTTTGTGTATCAATATCATGGCCCGCCCCTTGTGATCGATGTCTTGCCAAGAGCAAATCTCGGTTGCAAACAAATATATCAAGCGATTCAACGCTAGTATAACTTCGATAGTCGACTAGAAGGTTGCCGCTAAAACTGAATTCTTGTTCCACAATTACATATTTACAGTTGAAACCGCCATAAATAATACTTGTCTGGCTAACATTTCGAGTGATGGGAACATGTGTTCATTCCGCTTCCACGCCATTCAAGGACATTGAACTCAGTATTGTTGTCTTCATCATAGTCGTGTGGAATGTCTTGGTACATAGCAAGTTCATTGTGCAAACTTACACTTGTACCACCCGTTCTCATCGACAAAGAGCTACGATTACCTTTTTTATCAAAAGGCCACCAACTATCCATTTAAAACCTTTTTTTATCTTCGATATAGGAGGAGTTGTTTATTCTGGTGGAGTACCGTTTGTTGCTTAAAATTCTTTAAATAAGAACTCCAAAGGATCAATAGCATTATCTCTTTCTTTTGTCCATTATATCAATTCTCTATAAAAGTAACTATTTTCATCTAAAGCACAACTATAATAATGCTTAATAAGAATTTTAAAATTCTCAATCTTAAAGTGTGAATCACAAATAATACCAATTTTATAAATATCAGGAATATATAAATAATAAGCACATAATTTATCTTTTATAGCTAAGGGTACAAATGTGGATCAGATAAAATTTTACGAAAACATGCAATAACTGTAATACACTTAGAAATAAATATGTTTGTCGTAAGTTTATAAACATGCAAGAAAGTAAGAGTGACATCATTAAAAACCTCTAACACGTTTTTCAATTTCTCAACAAGAATAAATTCATTCCAATTGATAATATGGTTAAGTTCATACCTACGAAATGAAACAAGTTCTTATTTATACCGTATAATCTGGTCAATCAACTTATTGGTATTATTCCATTTAATCGTAATGTCATTAGCAAATGTTATTGGTTTTTATCCCTAGATTTACCATAAGACTTTCACGCATGAGAATTATTACGATTACCCTAAATTAACCTAAAATCAGCTTTAATATAAGTCAAGATTACCCCATATATAGCTACATGTTAATCTCTATTGAATACACAAATTTAAAACATGACAGACACACTTTTTGTATAAAAAGCTACCCATGCTCCTATTTACAAAGGGGTATGAATGTATGATCCCGCCACCCCAATCTCTTCTTTCCAACATGAGTGTCACTTCAATTTTCTTTTTTTACTTCTCATTTTCTTCCATTTTAGGAATGTGATTTTCCTTACTTTTCCATTTCACTTCCATTTTTAGATATACTTTTTAACGCTTGGTATGTTTCCCTGTGCTGATGCTTATTAGCTTATTATTGATAAACTTTTTTTAACTTATAAACTCTTATAAGTTAAATATTCTTTCATGGACGTAAATCAACTTAAATGTAGATTAATCATTTGTAAATATTTATAGATGGCGGGAGACATTTTTGTAAATAATCTGGTTAAAATGGAGAAATAAAAAAATTGACTTAAAAATAAGTAGCTAACCTACTTATTTTTTCTGGTTTATAAGTCAGCTTATAAGCACACAGAAACATGTCATCATCTGACTTATAAGGTAAAAATACTTCGTAATAGTTATACACTTTTATGGACAAATAGTTGTGGTGCCTTTTGTAATTTGGAAAATTGGAACCAATACCTCATATGTTTTCGAAACTTATTTCTAAAACTCACGTGGGTTCAAAATGTTGCACCTGCACCCCCTCCGATCATTTTCCAATCATTTTCAAGAAACAATTAAAGCAAAAAAAGGGAAAACGAAAAATAACCTAGAAAATAAGAAATGAGCATCAGTGGCCCCTATGATTTAATAGTAGGCACCATTGACGCTCGCGATCTCTTGGTCGAAAAAGGATCAGAGGGGGTTTTAGTGCAATATTCTAAAACCACGAGAACTTTAGAATTACGTTTTGAAAAGAGAGAGGGTATTGATGCCTATTTTCTAAACCACGGGGGTACTGGTGCTATTTGACTATACTTTTATCTTTAAGGTCAAATCAAATCAGATTAGATTTATTTATAGCTCATCTCATCGAATCATTTCCGATTATATTCAGATCAATCCTCAAAAAAAACATATCAAAACACTAAATGAACACAAAATAGTTGTGGCAATACGGAGTAATTTTTTATGTTAATAGTACGTGGATTGCGTTGTGTTCAACATATATTTCTATTTATTACTTATTATTTTATTAGAATCATATCCGATTAAACCATATCAGACTATATTAATGTTAGTTCCATATTGTGTTGGCATTATTTTTTGAAAAACGAATAGATTTACTTAGAATTATTTTAGATATTTTATTTAGAGTTAGAGTCATGGCGTGTGCAGAAAAAGAAAGATGAAAGAGCTTGAAGAGAGAATTCTAATCCTACTTGGTTTGGAGGAAGCCATGGTTGAGACTACTAACTAAACTCTAATTGGGTTATTCTATTCCATCTACTATCTTCACATTCCCTTACTATTTTGGGTGCGAAAATACAAAAAAACCGAAGCAGATCCGATCAAAAGAAAAGGAAGAAGGAGCAGATTTTGACAGTGCAAATATTCTGGAAAGCCTGCACGAATTTGATCATCGCCAAAGATCCGACTGTTGGATTTTGCAGAAATTTTCAAAGAGTGTACCTAACACATAGGGCTTCAACGTGTTCAATTTTCATGTCAATCAGAGTTACGGATTTTTAGTTATCAAAAATACGATCTACATATTGACGCTGGTTTATTGCAGAAAATGCAAGTCTTGTTTTGTCGATGATCGAAGTACCATATCTTGTCCGATTGTGCTGAAATTTTAGAAGAGGTCTAAAGACTCGTGGAGCTTCATTCTGAACGGTGGAGATCGAATTCCAACCGTTCAAGCTTGCTTTGTGAGCTTCGGACCAGCCTGCATATTTTTTTGTAGAGAAAGGCAAAATATTTGTTTGTATAGGGGCCGGTTCAGGTGAGAATGCATCTTGGTGAAAGAAATAAGAATAAAATCTAGCCTTTGGATCTGATGCATGGTGCAGCTCAAATTGCATCCTGCACTCAAAATTTGAGCTAATGCATTTTCAAAGGATTTTGGTGCATTTCGACATGATGCATTTTCAAACCATTTTGGTGCACCTACTTTTGATGCAATCCTGACCCTTATATGTCACAATCTAAAGAACGAGATTCATTCTTATTTCTTTCATAAGATCGCATTTTCACCTGAACAAAAATCTATACACACACACACATTCTCATTTATAAATACCTAAAGAAAGTAATTTATAACATTTGACTAAAATTATATTAATATACTTGAGTTATTTTACTAAATTAAAAAATAAAATTTATATATTATAAAAATAATATTAAAATTTTATAAATGAAGATTTGATTTTTTAAAAGAAGTTGTTTAATATTAAAAACACAAAATCTTTGCATTATCTGCATTTTGTTATAGTATCTACAATATCAATGATTTTGTGTTTGACTCATAGCTATATAATATTATATATTTTTAAAATTGAAAAGGAATTTGATCTTATCTAATTTAATCTGATCATCTTATAATTATAATTAAAATTATTTCGAATCTGATCTAATTATAATAAAAAAATATAATAAACCGAAAAAGTAAATAAAAAAGAACAAAACCATCAAAATTTCAATCTAATTATCTGAAGTGGCCAAAAATGCATATCATAACTTAATTACGGCTAGGTTCTAGAGCCACTCAAAAAGAGTGGCCACCGAAGCCACTCACCCAATAAAGACACCTACAGTGCTCCGTTCGTAAAATTGATAGTTCCTACTCCCTCTAACCCTCTGGTTCCGATCCCAACTCATTTCCCACCTACGTCAATTGCACCCCGTAAGTAAAATTGACTTTACAATAAAAAAATTTTGACCCCAAAGTTAACTAAACTTGGCGGAGGGTTTACCGGGCGGGGGGGGGGGGGGGGG